CGGTATGTTGGTTTAAAATGGTCCGAATTAGCCCGATCGGAAAATGTAGGAGGGCGATTTTCCTAGCAAAGATCCCAATTGTCGCCCATGTGATGTCAATTAAATGGGCTTTTAGGTCAAATAGGTGCCGGAAAATTGGGGTGAATCCGATATGATAAATAAGGATACCAACACTAATAATCACGATCATAAATTAGACCATTAATATCGCTATATGCATGCAGTTTCCTCTCTTATTACGAATTTTGTTATAATTAGATTACATTTAAAAAGTTTCTTAATATCAAAATTACATATTATTTTAAAAGAAGCAATATTTAATAAATATTTAGTAAGCATGTGGTAGAACTACATATTTTTGTAAAACTCAATTTAATTAATGTTTTGTGTCACCGTGAGACTAAACGACTTTTATGGAATATATATAGTTCATACTAAAATGAATAAACATTTTATTAAAGTTTAGATTACGTTACATAATCCAGTATTATGTATATACCTCAACCGAATAGTTTCTATCGTTAAACTTTGGGGGTTATAATATTTTCGGCATAACTTTTTAGCCTTCATAATTCTTTCAGTAAATAAACTGACGCAGCAGAATTACATAATATAAATATCTTTATTATTCTAAATTCTGTGTCGATAAACAATAATATAATAAGAATAATTGGCATACGTCACATGTGTGTGACGAATGGTGCATTCAAGCATAAATGAAGTTATTGGTTTTTTTTTGACGTCTTTTGTCGACGATAGTCGTAGTAGAAAGTTATGGTGATTCCACCTTTGCCAGATGACACAATAATTGATATTCTGGAATATCTTCAAGATGACCGAGGATCTTTATATAATTGCCTTTTTATAAACCATTTTTGGTGTCAACGAGTTGTTCGCTTGCTTTGGAGGCAACCTTTTTATATTCCAATCGAACGATATTCAAGTTTATTAAGTACTTATCTCTTATGTCTCAACCATGAAGAACAAAGATCTTTGATTCCATTTAATATTAATTTGCAGAACTATAAACGACCAATGTTCTTATATTCAAGTTACTTGGCTGAATTAGATTCTTTTTTCATTGATAGAGCTATAGTCTATTTCCTCTACAAAGAAGAATCTCCAAAATATCTTATTCACGCCACTGAAGGTGTAAATTTTATATATGGTCATAGTCAAACTGAGGATTATTATAGAATTCGTCAATTAACAAGTACTTTCTGGCGTATGTTGATGCGTAGTTGTGTAAAAGTTAATTATCTAGGACTAGGTTCTGTAGGTCGCGAAAATGTACATTATGCTGATGTTCCTGATAACGCTCAAATTTTTTTGAATTCATGTTCTACATTTTCTCATATAAGAAAATTATATTTAAATCCTCTCATGTCGAAAAATTCTATAGCTTTTTTAAAATACATTCCTTCAATATGTTCCAACATTCGTAAATTAGTATTTCATGAGCTTAAACCTCATGTAAGTGATTATCCACAAATAATAATTAATATTATTAAAGCTCAACCAAAAATTGATGACCTTGATTTCTTATCTTTCAAAAAATACGGTGGAATAATTATTTCTGAATTAACCTCTCTTAATTTAGAATGCCTAAATTCATTAAAATTTTCCAATTTTTACTTTTCAGAATCCCCATTAAATTTATTTTCTAATTTTAGATTATTAAAAAAGTTAGAGCTTATCAAATGTGATAATTTAGAACTAGTAGATTTTAATTATTTACCTCTCAAACCTTTCTCCATTAATGAGTTAATTTTGGGTTATAATAATTGGGATAAAGATATTGATGCTAAATTGATTTCGAAAATTGGTGTTAACCTTAAAACTTTCTCTACTGGTTCTTTAACAACTTCTCAAATAATTCGAACGATTAAGAATAATTGCCCTAATATTATCAATATTGAATTTTCAATAGATTCTTCTCGAGTAGAATTTAATATCATTTCAGCATGTCTCTCCAAGATGAAAGTTTTAGAATCTCTTTATATACATGTCTTGTCTGATGTTGAAGGTTATAATTTTCAATTATTTGGTGAAAATCTTCCTCATTCATTACGTTCTTTTAAATTCGGTTATACTTACAACTCTGCTAAAATTTTAAATGATTTCTTGATGAATTGTAATGTTCCATTAGAATCTCTTTACATTTCTTTTCATAATATTAGTTTAAATCATCTTGATTGTTTAGTTAGATTTGCAAATAGGTGTACTACTCTAAGGAAGGTGGGCTTGGAAGATTTTCAAGATCAATCACATTGTCATCATGAGAAATTGGATATTATTGATAAATTGCGACGGCTGAATATAAAAATTGTACCATTTTATTAAAGTAGTTTGTACTGATGTTACTTTGTGTATATTTTATTTCTTTTTATTATTGTATTTATATTTCATCAGTTAAAAAAAAAAAAAAAACTGATAAAATTAAAATTTAATTGAATCTTTATTCATGACCATAAATTCGAATTTAGGAAATCGTGAATAATGCTAAGGGAAAAATCAGGCTTCGGTTTTAAAATTTACATCGTTCATATTTGGTGAGTAAATTTTTCGATTAGGGCAGATAATCAAAGCAAGATTACAAAATCGACAACAATTGGTCCGATAACAATAATTTTAAGTGCTTAAATGATGCTCTTAATCAGAAGACAAAATAGAAATTCATTAATTAGGAGACAAATATATTGCAAGAATATTAGAGCATCCCTTAAACTGTATAGCGTACATATTTGTTCGCTAAAATTTTTAGAGATTTATTTTTGCGCATTTACTCCAAATTTTATTAGGTATTAACCCATTTCCTAAGCTTAAATAAAAATGTATTATATGCTAAATACTATGCAATTTTATTTTACGGGTCTTCTTAACGTTACCCTCAAAATCAATTTTATCTTGTTAATTATATGATATCGATATTACTTTTTGTGACAAAATTTATTATTGACAAGGAAACCTGCACGTGACAATTATAAAAATCTTTTAAGACCGTCACACGCGGGTTTCCTCTATAATATAACATTAAAGTTAATCGAAAATTCTTTACGATCTACTTTGTGTAAATGATTTTTGAAGCGAGACTACGGAAATCAGACCTGGTCATTTGATCAAAATTTTAATAACCCCAAGTCATCAAATAATGACCTGGTCATTTGGTCATTTAGGTCATTTGCATATAAAGTTATCAGCTTTAATCGATAATCGTAGCTATATATTAAAATTAAAATTTTACTAAGTCAATTAATATTTATGCCTTAAGTAAAGTTGTTCGGGTAAATAGAATACTTTTTTTATTAATTTACTTTCGCATATTACGTTTACACGAAAAAATTTTAAATTTTTTCATATAAATGTAAGGTGCGGAAGTGAATTAATAAAAAGTTATTCAATTTATATAAAAATTTCAGAACATATCAATTTATTATCCCGAACAACTTTACTTAAGGCATAAATATTAATTGATTTAGTAATATTTTGATTTTGATATATAGCTACAAAATTAGTTATATTTATAAATTTAAATTTTGCTTGGCGGCCAACTCTGATTGGTTAAAAGATGGTAGAATATTAACTAATATATGTTAAATGACCTTCTAAGGTCATTTGGCCTTGAAATGACAAATGACTAGTCATTTTTCATTTGAGTCATTTGGGTCATTTTAGGTCATTCACCATCCCGGACGGAGATAGGGTGGCTTAGAAGTTTGGGTTGCACGGCACATTTCACAGCCATCGTGGGATTTATGCCTTTATTCGGATCGTATTGAGTATGCCACACTACAGCTGTGGCTTGAACTCTTAAAAGTCATAAAATTAATTAGAATAAAAATTTCTATAGAAAAATTTTTCTGTAATTTTATTTTCTTTCAATTATTTTAGATATAAATACCTATATACTGAACTATCCATATTGACTCAGTTTGGTATCAAACTGTATTATCTAAGCTAAAACTATTTGAACTAGTTACTATTAATAAGTAATCTAAATTTTTTTTCTTATAATCTAAAAATAAATACTATAAAAAAATAATCTATATTTTCAAATATTATTGTAACAAATTTTATCTAAATATTTTAAATTGTTAAAAAATAGATTAGTAGTATATTTATAATACCAATACAAACAAATTTGTTTGTATTAGTCTACAATCTAAAGAATACTATTCTAGCAAAAACCTAACTACTGCTTGCTTTCAGAATAAATTTCTAATTTGGATATTAAATATTTTTTAAAAGTTCACTAAATAGAAAAAAAACTTAACCTCAAGAAAAACTGCTTAAATTATATCTGCTTAATAATGTTTTATATTTTTTAAGTTTTGTTAATAGCAATCTACTTAGAAGTAAAACCAGTTTTCAGAATAAACTTTCTGGTTTGGATACCAAATATCTTAGAGAGTCTACTAAAGAGAATACAAACTTAATCTTAAGAAAAACTACCTAAGTTATGCCTACTTCTTAATATTTTATATCTTCAAGCTTTGTTAACAACTGATTATACAAAGGCAAAACTAAGAATAATATTTATTTTAGACCTTCCTATAGTATTTTTTGTAGTTTAGTTTTTTGTTGCATTAACCAAAAAATCATCAAAAGTGTTAATAAATTATATATTATTATTTAAACTAGTTTTTACTTTAAATTTATATATTTAGTATATTTAAATAAAAATTCTCTTAGAAAAAATATTTTTTAATACTAGCATCATAGAGAGATCAGAAATCTGTACTTATAGTTTTAAAATATTGGTTATTTAAATTGTTATAATAAATTAAAAGTAAATAATACTAACTATTTTGATAATTATAATATTAATTTTTGAAGAGAGTAAGCTAAATTATTTATTTTTTACAAAATTTTTTCTAAAAAAGTGAAAGATTAATGAGAGTAAATAAGTTATTTCTTGTAGATTTTATAGTTATATAGTTTAGCTTTTTAGTTTTTATTTAATATTCTTAACCAAAAACTCTTGCTCTACTTGTTTTCAAAATAATCTTCTAATTTGGATACTGAATATACAAAAAAATCTATTTAAGAGAAAACTTGATTCGAGACACAATCCTGCTTAATATTTTATATGTCTACTTCTTAGTATTTTACATATTATAGACTTTGTTAATAACAAGTTTGCTTATACAAAATTAAAGATATTATTATATTTACTTTGTTGCTTTTTTATATCATTTTGCTATAGTTTAATTTATTTGTTGTTAACCAAAAAACTATTAAAAAAATTTTTGTTATTATAATTTTTTACTAATATTACTGTTAATATAAAAAGAAATTCTATTTTGAACTGGGTTAAAATAACTCTTGACAAAATTTAAGGATTAGTACTGATTAGAATTATATTGATGCTGACTAGATTTTTTAATATAAAAATCTGGTTAGCATTAATATAGTTCTGGCCTATACTAATCCAAAAAATTCTAAGAGAGGATTATTTTGATCCAGGTTAAAATAAAATTTTTCTAATATAAATATATAAATAATTTAAATAAATTAATATTAATAATAGTTAAATATATTAAAATAATATTGTAATAATTTTTTAATTAATAATTACAAAACTAAACTATAGAAAATATTATAAAAAATATCAAAAATAAATAATATTTTTAATTTTATACAAGTAAATATACTATTAACAAAACTATAAGATATATAATAATAAAAAGTAAAACAAAACTTAAATAATTTATATTAAAATTATATATATTAACAAAATTATTTCAAAGTTTAAAACCCAAAATTAAAATTTAAAAACAAAATTGTTTTGTTCTTTTTTTTTTTTTTTGGTTTTAAGATGAGGCCTTATTCATATCTTTATTAGTAAAAAATTTTTTAATAGTAACAGTATAGATTACTACAATGCAGTCACCGAGGCTTCTATTTGTAGTCAGAGCGAATCATTAAACCACTATATA